AGCCCTGGCGGCCGGCGGCCGGCGCGCCAGGGGCGGCGGCCCCCCGGGGGAGGCGCCGCGGCCGCGCCTCGGCTGCGCTGTGCCAGGGGCAGCGCCAAGGTCAGCGCCGAGCCCAGAGATCCGAGGCTCCGAAAGCATTTCAGGAGCGAAAGAAGGACGTACGCGTACATGAATCCACGCTGGTTTCGGGAGTACGCGTTGCCCGAAAGTTCGTACCACGCGGCCGGTCTCGCAGATCGAAGGGCCGTGTTCATGTACATAGCTGGGCGCGTACGTCCTTTGTGCGCTCCCTAGCATTGGAGCGACTGGTTTTTGGAGAGTTTTCGACCCCCGGGGGCCTTCAGAGGGCCCCGGGACAGTCCACAAGCAGCTCAGGACCAGAAGCTGGTGCCAGGGAAGTCGTCCAGACCTCCAGGGGCCCACGCATCGAAGAAATCGGAGCGCCGAGATGTCTCGGAGGGTCGAGGAAGCGCAAGCATGGATGAAGAGGGAAAGAAACACACAGACACAATTAATCCTCGATTCCCCAGAAAATATGGGAAAATATGGGAAGCTGGGGGGGAAGACAGAAACCCAGAGAATATGGGAAAATATGGGAATAGTTTTGTTTGTGTGTATTTATTTGTGTGTCCCAGGGCCCCTTCAATGGATTGAGGCGCGTGGAGAAGCGGCGGGTCCCGCTTCCATGCAGGATCGGCGCGCTCCGTCGCCGCACAGGGCGGCCCTGGCTTCGTGTTGGGGGGGGGGGTGCTGTCCCCGACCCGTGGATCTGGCGCCCGCGCACCAGATCCACTCGCTTGCGGGCGCTCTTTCCAGCTGCCCCAGAGGTCCCGAAGGGGGGTGCTGGTCCCTCACTGGGAGCCTCGGGGGTGGGTGCTGGCCCGAGGGGGGTGCTGGTCCCTCACTGGGAGCCTCGGGGGTGGGTGCTGGCCCGAGGGGGGTGCTGGTCCCTCACTGGGAGGCTCGGGGGTGGGTGCCGGGAGGGCCGCCACCATTTCCCGAGGATTGCGGATCGAGGAGGAGGAGGGAGCATCGAGTATCGAGGGGATTTTTCATGGATGCTTCTGGGCGCTCCGGGCTGCTCTGGGAGAGTCTGGGCTGTCTCGAGAGTGTGAAGGGGCCCCAGGACACACAAATAAGTACACACAAATAAAAATATTCCCAATATTTTCCTTATATTTTCTGGGTTTCTGTCTCCCCCCCACTTCCCATATTTTCCCATATTTTCTGGGGAATCGAGGATTAATTGTGTCTGTGTGTTTCTTTCCCTCCTGAGAGTGGAGGGCCCTCTTCGGCAGGTGACTGCTTTGGAGGGCCTTGCTCTGGTTCCTGCGTCGTCGCCCTCCCCAGCCCCTTCCTTCAGAGCCGGCGGCCAGTTTTTCCTTCCTCGGTTCTTGCATTTTTCAGAGCGTGAATTACCTACCCCGCTTGTGCTTCCAGGCAAAACCAAGTCATACCACGCGCCTCCTCGTCAAGCGGCCTGACCAGTACAGGCCGTAGTTTGACATCGCTTGGTATCTCTTGGAAGCGAGGGTGGTCAAAAGCGAGGTAGGTTAGTTTGCCCCCTGATTTTGGGCCACGGTTTCCCCCCTTTGGGCCATCAAGGATTGAGGATGGGAAGCTCTCTGGGCAACCGGTCGAGAGGTGTGGGAACCTCGTGTGAAAATGTCAAGGCGTCGGAGATCCTGGCTCGCCGCTCTCAGGGCAGGGCGACATAGCGGAGCACTGACGACAAGGTGACTCGCACCGGCTCCGCGAGGTTGTGTGAAAACAGCAGGTCCCGCCGTTCCAGGGGAGCTCTATCGTATGATTTTCCACAAGTGTATATTTGTTCCATGTCGCATTCTTCTATGCCCACACATCTGAGCCCATTTGGGAGGTTGCCGTGGCGAACCTGCCTTTTTGTCCCCCTCCCTCTTCATGGGGAGAAGAGGTTTTTGACGGTTTCTCTTCTTTCAGTTTTTCCAGCGAGTTTTACATGGTCTCGGGTGTTTCTGAAGGTATTTGGAAGATCAATGTATGAATTTCCACTTCAAGATGGGCCTTGGATTCCGGACCTGCGGCGTTCAGTGCGACACACCGGAAGCGGTACGTGCTCCTGGGAGGTGCCAGGCGGTACTGTTGCCGGCCCGTTTCATGTGCCAGACACGTATATATCGCCTCGCTGGCATACGCACGACATGAGAGGTAGACGTGGAACCACCCGTAATACCCGTCCTCACAATCTAGTCTTTTGTCTTCCCGCTCCTGTCCCGCGCCCCTCGTCTTCCGTTGCCTATCACTGTCCCCATCCCCCATCGTCCCTCGTCCCTGTCCACATTCTCCTTCTTCAGCCTTTGTCTACACCCACAGCCCAGCCCGTGCCGACGTCCGCCTTCACGCCCATTCCCCCCCCCCTTGCCCCCTCCCCTCATCTCTGAGCTGCGAGGCCATGTCCACCCGCCCGCATGGCAATGCCACCCACTTGTGCGGGTCCCTCGCGCTGCGCGGCCGCGACCAGCGCCGCGTCAGCAAGGAGGGCGCGGCCATATCTGGTAACCCAACTTTGACCCTGACTCTGGCCCTGACCGCAAGCCCATCTCCCGACCCCGATCGCGACTCCAAGGTCAATGCGGACCCCAGACCCAACTCCAACCCAGGCGTTGACGCCGACCCCAGCCCTACAGCTCCAACCTCCTCTTCGCCCTCCGCCTGGCGCTCCTCCGCCTCCTCCGCCCTGTTCTAGTCCTTCTCCGCCTCCTCCCCCCTCGCTGGAGGTCTGCAGGGGTTTCAAGGCAACGTAATCTGTTTTGACTGCATCCGCGCGTGACCACCTCCCATGCTCTTGCATACATCCTACCCACCCACACGCAATCTGTGGGCAAAGGTCAACTTGGCGGCGACAACCACGGTGACGATGACGATGCTCATGACGACGGCGGGGACCATGTCGACCACGACGACGACGATGGAGATAGTGATGAAGCTGCTGGTGATGATAATGACGTTGGTAATGATGTCACTGGCGATGATGATGCTGCTGATGATGGTGATGATGATGAGATGATGAGATGATGAGGTGATACTGATGATGCTGATGACAATGAGGATGATGATGAGGACGATACTGATGACGATGGTACGGAAGTTGGCGCGCGCAGGAATTTAGCGAGGGCGGCGACATTGACGATGACGATGAAGACCTCGGTGGTCATAATGATGACGGCGATGGTAATGGTGATGGTGATGGTGATTGCGAAGGTGGTTGTGGTGTTGATAATGAGGATGTTGCTGATTCTGATGATGATGGCGACGATGATGATGATGCTGCTGCTAATGGTGATGATGCTGATGCTGATGCTGATGATGATGATGATGATGATGATGATGATGATGAGGATGATGATGATCCAGATGACAACGGCAATGACGACGCTGGCAAGTACGATGCCGATTGTACACATGTGGATGTTGAGGAGAAGATCAGAATTTGGGACATATGTTTCGGACAACCACGCGGCATTCAACGTGATCTCTGTGGTGCGCTCGGAGTGTTCAGTGTTGCGACGTGCGGCCCCCAGGGCCAGTGGGGACGCGATGTGTACGCAATACCCGTGGCCCCTTTGCGGCGGCCACGGCGGCGTCGGCGAAGGGCGGCCCCCAGGCCCCCCGCTCCCGTTCCTCAGAAGAGAAGTAGGACCCCTCAATGCGAGTACGGCTTGGGGAAAGTGGCGCCACGGCTGTCACGACCTCAGTCCTCGAGCTTCGACCCCCCCTCCCCAGAGTTCTCTGGAGGTACCTGGAGCTTGCTCCAGGGGCACCCGAGGACCCAAACACGGGTAAAGAGCGTACGGTCGGACCGAGGGTGCCCTACTGGTCTCCGTGTTTGTTGGATGTCCTTGCGTATCCTGGGGGAGGGTACCCCCGCATGTTCTCCAGCTCGGCCGGCGGAGGGTCTTATGCTCTTGAAGGATGTAATTCTGTCTCGGGTCCGGCCGTATCCAGATTCCCCCCCCGCCCTCGGCGCCCCGAGCAGGACGGCTGCCACAGATCATCTTCGGTGCCTACCGAGACGGGCGACGTGCAGCTTCCTGGCTCCGCCTTTGGGCCTTGCGCGCGCGCGAGCGCGCGCCTCCGTGACGGCTGGGCAGCGGCGAGTCCAGCAGAGTCCGCCTGCTATCCGCCACCGTGCTCGCGGCGAACGCGGTGCTCCACGACCGAAAGCTGTGTTGCGCACAGGGGAGGACGAGTAGGGAGTGGCGGATCGGACCAGGAAGATGATGATGAGAGGGAGAGGACAGGAGGATGATGAGGACGATGGTGATGATGATGATGATGATGATGATGATGATGATGATGACAATGATGATGATGATGATGATGATGATGATGATGATGATGATGATGATGATGATGATGATGATGATGATGATGATGATGATGATGATGATGATGATGATGATGATGATGATGTATGTGGTGATGACGATGTTTGTGGTTGTGATGATGACGGTGGTGGTTGTGATGACGATGACGATGATGACTACGACGATGGCCATCTTGACGATGGCGACGGCGATGATGAGGAGGACACAGATGATGTTGATGATGAGGATGATGTGGTTACGATGATATGATGATGGTAGCTGTGGTAGCGTTGATAATGGTGACGATAATGCTGCTGCTGCTGCTGCTGATGATGATGACGACGACGATGATGATGATGATGATGATGATGATGATGATGATGATGATGATGATGATGATGATGATGATGATGATGATGATGATGCTGGTGACATGGTGGTGGTCGTGACGATGATCTGATTATGGTTGTTGTGGTGGTGGTGATGATGATGGCGATGGTTGTGGTGATGTTGGCTATGGTCATGATGACGCCGACACCGTCGTCGCCACCGGCTTCCAGACCCTGGATTCTGCACGACCAGGAACTTTTGGATAGTGTGTCGCTCCGCCGGTTCTGGCCCGGAACGTTTCGGCGCGAAATGCCTCAACGCCCCCAGCGTTTCCCAGCCTCCCGCCCCGCGGAGCGGAGCGACGCGCTATCCGCTCGCAGGCACACAGCGTGTCGCTGGAGCCGCCGCCGCGACACGCTAAGCAAGAGTTCCCGACCGTATTCAATGGCTCCTTATCCAATCCAATGGTTCCTTGTCGAACAGTTTCTTATCCCATGGTTTCTTATCCAGTAGCTCCTTTTCCACTGTCCTCACCTCACGAGGGCGAGGGGCGGGGGGAATGGGGCGGGGCGAGGAGCTCGCGCCGCCGGGCGCGCGGCGGTTCGGGGCGGCGGCCGCTGCTGGCTCCCGCAGGCTCTACGGAGCCCCTCTCGCCCATCAAGGTCGTCCTGGCGGAGGCGAAGCAGGCCCAAAGAGGAGGAGGATGAGGAGGAGGAGGAGGAGGAGGAGGAGGAGGAGGAGGAGGAGGAGGTGGAAGACGGTGGGTGGCGAGGGTGAGGATGAGGAGGATGAGGGCAAGGATGAGGATGCCGCTCGCGGGGAACAGCAGGCCTCCCTCCCTGCATCTCTGACAGGCGGGGGCTCCTCCCGCGCCAGTGTCAGCAAGCCGCCACTGGTCAAGCCCCCAGCAGGCGACGACACGGCTAGCGCGCCGCTCGCCCGCCACCCTCGCCTCCTCAGCTCGCCCTCCGCGTCCGTGGTCTGCGGCGCCCCCGCGCGGGTCTCCTGGTGGAGAGCCGCGTCGGCCCTGTACACGTCCTCGACGAGCCAGCCCTTGTCGATGTTGCTCCACGCGTTCACGTTGAGCGTGACCAGCGTCCGCAGGCCGTCACCCTCGCTTCTGCTTCCCGGCGGCTGCCTCCTCGGCGACCTTCTGCAGGTCCTGCAGGCGCTTCCGCTTCTCCGCGGTGCCGTTGCAGAACTTCTCCGCCGCGGCCACGAAGTGCGCCTCCTTGAACCCCTGACGTTTCTGACGTTTCTCGCTACACAGCGTCTTGTCGCGCGCCCCGCGGGCGCGGAGCGCGCCGCAGCGGCCCACAAGGGCCGTGCGGGCACTCGAACAGCGGCCCCGGGAACCCGACCCCGAGGAGAGCAGAGAGGACCAGGGACCAGAGAGAGCAGAGAGGACCAGGGACCCCTTGAACCCCTCGGGCTCCTCCTCCATGGCGGCGCTCGCCGCGTCCTCCCGCTTGGCGACCGCAGCGTCCGCGGGCGCCTCCAGCGCAGCAGGGTCGGCGCCACCGCCCTGGCTGCGGCCGCCGACGCCTTGGCCGCCTTGGCCGGCGCGCGGATGCTCGTGAACAGCTCGACCACCGCCTGCTTGGCTGGGTCTGGGTCGTGACCGCCAGGCGTGGCCGCCACAGCCGCAGCTCTCTCAGCCTGCTCGCCCATGACCACGGCGAGCTTGCTGGCCTCCTTCGCGTGCACCTCCGCCTGCAGTGCTTCAGCGTGAGGAGGCCCCACCGCTGGTGTAGCGTCATCGCCAGCGGTTCGCTCCTCCTTCGCATTGGCGGCATCCGCAGCGAGCTCCGCCCTGAGGCCCGCCACATTGCTCTCCTGCAGCCGCACTGCTTCCGGCTCGACCGTCGCAGTCTTGCGCTTGCCCAGCAGCTCACGGGCCGCCTGGAGCTGCTTGGGCCAAGCGCTGCGCCTTGTTGGCCTCCTTGACGTCCGAGAGCGCCGTGCCCACGTCGTGCCCACGCCGAGCGCGCGCAGGCTGCGCAGCGTCCTGACGCGGCTGCAGACCCCGTCTGACCGCCCGACGGCCACGCGCTCGACCGCCTCGTCGAGCATGGCCGCGTGCGCGCCGACCGCGCTGTCGGGCAGCGCGCTCTTGGGCGGTTGCCTGCCCCCGCCCCCTCCGCCGTCCTTCTGGCAGGGATCACGCCTGGGCGGCTTCCCGGGCACTCCCACGCGAAGGCACGCTGCCAAGCGCCAGCAGCGCCTCCTCCTCCTCCTCCTCCTCCTCCTCCTCCTCCTCCTCCTCCTCCTCCTCTTCCTCCTCCTCCTCCTCCTCCTCCTCCTCCTCCTCCTCCTCCTCCTCCTCCTCTGGGTGCACCACGTAGTCGCGCAGCACCGCGCCCGCCCTCCTTCGCGGGCGGGCGCCGCCCCCCTTGCAGCCCAGCACGCGGCAGGTGCCCCCCTCCCCTTGGCATCGCTCGGGCGTGTGCACTTTTCTCTCTCAGCGAGGACCATCGAGGAGCATCCTTGATCACCGAGCCAGGAAATCACCACCCACCAAACCACCCCAACCCAACCCGAAGGCTCAGATTTACCCTCGATTTCTAGTGGGGGGGGGGTCCGGGAACGTCGAAAAAACACGTATGGAACCCTTACCCCCCCCAACCCGAAATTCGGGCCTTCGGGTTGGGTTGGGGTGGTCTGGTAGGTAGTCAGGAAAGCACGCACGAAACCGAGCGATGGCAAGTCCCCGAGGTTGTAGTACCCGCACTCGTCGCACGTGCAGGTGGGACAGTCCTCCAGCAGCGCTGCCACGCTCGCGCCCCACCGCGAAGGGGAGCGCCCCGCTCGTAGACTGGCCTCT